ACTAACACCAATCACGTATAAATTAGAAACCTTATTAATTGAAAAGAAGATAAATTCCAATATGTGAAAGCCAATGTTGTGTATTTTTCTTTTTTTGGAAGTGAGGATTAAAGTACTCCATTTGTTTTAAAATTATTGACGTTTCAATAAATAAAGTTTATTTTAAAATTAAGAAGGATGGAGGTTTGGGGTTCCGGGATTTTAAAGCTTTTAATATGGCGATGGTTGCTAAACAAGGTAGGTTTATTATGTCTCAACCTCAAGTCCTTGTATCTCGTATCTTTAAAGCAAGGTACTTCCCTAGAACCTCCTTCTTCGATGCTAACGTAGGTTACAATCCAAGTTCTGTTTGGAGGAGTCTTTGGAAATCTAGAGAGGTCCTAACCCTAGGTTGTAGGTGGCGTATCAGAGATGGAAGTCACATCGAAGTTATGTCCGAACCTTGGATTCGCGAGAGTCGTGATGGGTACCTGACGGGTCCACAAATTGAAGGTGTGTATGACATAACCGTTAGAAACCCTGTGTTGCCTAATATTAAACAATGGAATATAAGAATTCTTCGTGATATGTTTAATGTTGCAGCGATTGAGGAAATTATCCATGTCCCGTTGTTGGAGGAAGTTACTAAGGATACTTTGATTTGGAAGGAGGAACAAAGTGGTAATTATAGTGTGCGATCAGGGTATAGGGTGTGGTGGAATGCTAAGAGAGGAGGAGAAAGCTCTAGTAATACAGAGGATTGGAATAACATATGGAACATCAAAGCTCCTTCTAAAGTGAAACATTTGTTGTGGAGAATTTGTCAGAAATGTCTCCTATCGAGAATTAGGCATTACCGGCATCATGTAGATTGTTCGAGGGAGTGTCCACTGTGCAGCAGCCATATTGAGAATGATTTGCATGTGTTTTTTGGGTGTCCTATGACTACTCCATGTTGGGGGGGCAACAGGTTTAAATAATATTATTGAGCATCGATTCCTTTATTTATATGACGCAAAGTCGATTATTCTTGATATTTGTAATAAGGAAGACAGAAACACATCTGGTAGAGTTGTAATTATGTTACGAGTCATATGAAAGAATATGAATGATTTTATTTGGTATAATGAAAGAGAGAAAGGTAATAAGCTTGGTTGGCTTACGTTTCACAGGTGGCAAGAGTGCTTTTCGGCCCAACGGCCCCATATTGACAACGAGGAGAATCATCATGTGTGTAGATGGAACCCTCCATCTTCTGGATGGGTTAAGTGTATTGTGGATTGTGTTTAACAAGAATTATGCATCTACAAACAGAGGGTGGTGTATTCGAGATAACTCTGGTAGCTTTCTTTTGGCAGGTGTGGTGTGGGATGTAGGGAGCCTTTCTATCATAGAAGCAGAAGCTTTGGCTCTAAAAGAAGCTATTCAAAGTGTTATTCCTTTGAACCTTGAGTGTGTGGTCTTCGAAAGCGACTCTCTTAGAGGGGTGCAAGCTTTACGCACCATTGGTATTGAAAATTCTAAGTTTTATACTATTGTTAGAGAGATTAAATTGTTGTTACAAAATTCTCCTAACTTTGAGGTTAAGTTTACAAAGCGTCAAGCAAATTTGGTTGCCCATTCGTTAACGAAGACGGCCAATTCATGGACTAGACGTAGCATTTTTCATATAGTTCCTCCTTGTATTGATCTATTGATTATTAATGAAAGAAGTTAGTTTTGCTTTGTTCAAAAAAAAATTTATTTTAAAATAAAATTTTTCCTTAGTTTTTAATGTAAAAATAATTGTTATTTTTAATTGTGCCCTTTAATTATTACTCAGTACACTACTTTCAACACATGTACGGGGTTTTTGATCAAAGTAAAATTAACTCACATCATTTAACAACAATTGTTCAATATAAAGAAGAATAGTGTTAAAAGAGCTACATCTAGCCAAAGAATTGGTTGCTTTCGCTAGAGAGTGGGCAACCCAATTCGCTTGATGCTTTATGAAGTTCACCTTGAAGTTTTGGGAAGTTTGTAATGACGATTTAATAGACTGTAAGATAAAGATAAATTCGGATCCACCAATATATTTAGAATGAAGGGCATGAAACAAGATTTGAGAATTGCTTTCAAAAATAACATTGTCCAACAGTAACGTAATAGCTCCATGAATCTCTTCTTTAAGCGCCAATGCTTCGCTTCAATGATAGATAGATTACCCATATCCCAAGCCGCCAATGCGTAGATGAAATATCCAAAGTTATCTCGAATAATCCATCCACGGTTAGTAGTACCAAGAATATTGTTATATCCCGCATTGACATTGCACTTAAAATAATTATGTTGCGAATGAGTCCACTTCTCATCGTTGTGGTTATTGTCCACCTCCTGCTGCTGATGCTGTACCGAAAACCAGTTGTTCCAAGAGTGAATTACCTGCAATCCAACCTACGATGCTTCTATTCTCTCATTGTTCCAAACCGCTTCATTCCGAGACTTCCAAAGAGAGTCTATCAACACCGCTATTTTTCCAATAGTGCAACGATCCTCATTGTAAACATAAAAAATAACATCCTTGATATTAATGTAGTTCTACATCCTTAGTTGTATCATAGGAAACAAACCAGTAACCTTCCAACTGTGATTATACACCAGACATTCAAACATGACATGCCATGCATCCTCAGTAACATTATCGCATAGTGGACAGGTTGCAGGATAAGGGACATAATGATGGCGAAGATTCATTCTTGTCGGTAAGCATCCCTTACATATCTTCCAAAGGAGGTGTTTAACCCCCGGCGAGGCTTTTATATTCAACAGAATAGTCCAGTTTTCCCCGGCTGCATCATTACTAGCCTTGTGATACTTCCTCCATAAACGATACCCCGACTGGACTGTGTATTTACCATGATGATCATACTTCCAAATAAGTCTATCCACCTCTACGTCATCCACTATCGAAATTTTTAGAATGTTTTCCAAACACGTGTTGTCAAACAATTCACCGATCCATGCACATCCCATTTCTTAGTATTTGGTAACAGAAGACTTTTTGCTGTAATGTTATAAGCACCTTCTCTATGAGGGCCCATCATACACCATTCTCTTGTTCCTTGCATCCAAGGCTTATTCATAACTGCGATTTGCCCGTCATCACTTATACTCCACCTACATCCCAAAGTTAAGACCTCTCTGGCTTTCCAAAGGCTTTTCCAGAGAAGACTATGATAGTAACCAACAGTCGCACCAAGCAACGAGGCTTTGGGATAATACCCGGCTTTAAAGATTTGGGACACAAGTGCTTGAGGATTGGTTAGAAGGAACCAACTTTGCTTAGCCACCATTGTCATATTGGACACTTTAAAATCTCGAAACCTCAACTCTCATTCTTTCTTTGAACATGTTAATTTATCTCATGTCATCCATCTTATGCCACGATTGTTATTACCACCACCCACCAAAAGGAATTTAACATCCACTCGATTTCATTAGTTACATCATCTGGTAGGATAAAAATACTCATAATATAAGTTGGAATTGCTTGAAGAACATACTTGATCATGATTTCTTTACCTGCTTTGGACAAAGATCTCTCTTGCCAAGTATTAATCTTATTCCAAATTTGATCCTTTATGAATGAGAATGTAGTCTTTTTACTCCTTTCAATCATCGATGGTAAACCCAAGCACTTTTCGGTTCCCATAACGTGTTTAACTCCCATTATGCTAGCAATGTCTTCTTGTGCCGGTTTACTCAAGTTCCTACTAAAGAAAACTTCACTTTAGCCCGATTAATCTCCTGGTCGGGCGCCTTGGTATAAATCTAAAGGATCTTCATGATATGTCTTACTTCTGTCAAATTCACCCTGAAAAATAAAAAACAGTCGTAAGCAAAAAGCAGATGGGGCACACTAGGTGCCCCTCTGCAAATTTGTACTTCGTGGATATTCCCACAAGCAATTGAATCCTTGATTATGGTTGAAAGTCCTTCGGAGATAAGAATAAAAAGGTAAGGAGACAGTGGGTCCCCCTGCCTTAAGCCTTTTTCTTGTTCTATAGGTCCAATGCTATCTGAGTTAACGAGCACAAAATAGTGAACTGAAGTAACGCACATCATCACCCAATGTATTCATGTATTCACAAATCTCATACAACTCAGGAGAAAACCCCAATCAACTCTATCATAAACCTTACTAATATCGATTTTCAGAACCAAATAAACTTTATTACCTTTAGTCTTCCACTTTAACACATGAATAACTTCAATTACAATCATAGCGTTACAAAATTAATTTAATAAAAATATAATATTTTATAATAGTATTATTACATTTTTTAATTTAAGTAAAAAAACTTTAAATGTCAACTATTTTGAAACGAATGAAATATTAATTTTAAATTTCTAATTTTTATTATAGTCGTTTCGTACCCTCAATGATTGCAATCCGAGACTAATAATTTGTTCGCATTCTATTCCATAATCTAAATATGAACTGTACAAACAGAAGCGTATATTCACGACCTTCAAAGAAGAAAACTTCAATTGAAACAGCAACAAAAGTTATAAGAAATGGAAACCATCAATGAATTATTGATCTGGGAAACCAATTCTAGGGTTAGCGAAAATCTTAATTTTATATAATTTATTAATTAAATCAATTTTATTATTTTAACATTATAACTAAAATTATAATATTAACGATAACAGTTGAACAAATTTTAATTACCACGCGCTTGTCTTGATAATAACATGCGTTACACGACAAAGCAGGAAGAGTCACAGAAAGTGAGTTTCAAGTTGCAACGAATCTTCATATCTTGGTAACTTGGTACTACAGTATATATCATGAACCAAGCTAAAGATAACAGAAATTCAGAAAAACAAAAACTTTGAAACCACCGTTTGTTATTTCAAAGGTAAATAAATAAACATTTCTTTTTTCTTTTTTTCTTCTTCTTCATATCATAAGCTTTGAGTTCTAGATCCTGGTTAAACAACCTAGTATTTCTCGACCTAGTTAGTTATAATTCATGGAAAAGTCCACAGAACTAGATGTTATTACCTCACAGCTTCAACAAACATACAAACAAGTTCAACATGACAAAACATCCATGCGTTTCTTTAGGTCAACCTTAAAAGATTTGTCTCCACTGGTTCACCAGATCGATCAATATAATGATCAGTTGAATCCACCTAGGGAGGAAATCAAGCTTCTCACCAAAGAAAGCCCTGCAGAACAAAGGAGTCTTTGCTGGAACAGGTGTAGTTCTTTGTTTCATCGCTGTTTAGATGGAATTTGTTATAAGAAGAAAGATGAGTTTGATTCATCTGTTGCTGGTAACAGACAAGCTGTTATGGCCAAAGATGTTAAGGATACACTTTATAAGTTGAGAGAAATTCTTGAGACTGTTAATAAAGAGAATTTTGAGAAGAAAATAAGTGGATCTGGTGGACTAGTTCTTAGGGGTACTTTTGGTGTTCCTCAAAATCCTGAATTTACGGTTGGTTTGGATTTATTGTTGATTAAGTTGAAGATGGAAGTTCTTAGAGATGGTAGATCTACTCTTTTGGTGACTGGTTTAGGAGGAATGGGTAAAACTACTTTAGCTGCAAAGTTATGTTGGGATTTACAAGTCAAGGGTAAGTCATGAAATTTTATTTGATTCTTTCATGCTTGGTAAATAGGTGTTTTTGGTTAAAGTCAAATGGTTTCTATATAGTTATAATTTGTTTTTAGAGAGAGCTTATGGAAATAAGGTGAAAACAGCTTATGGTTTCTATATAGTTATAAGTTACTTAAACTCGAATAAGTAAATTCAAACATGTGTGTTTAGTGATAAATTTAGCAGAAATTTTTGTTGTTTACACATGTATATGTATTATGGTAGGAGATATCGAATACTCTGGGCTTATTGTTCTCTTTTGATTCATTAGGTAAATTCAAGGGAAATATTTTATTTGTCGTCTTTTCGAAAACGCCTCAGTTGAAGATTATTATAGAGAGGATATTTGAACATTGTGGACATTCTGTGCCTGAGTTTCAAAGTGATGAAGATGCTGTTAATGAATTGGGGCTTTTGCTGAAGAAAATTGAGGGAAGGCCAATATTGTTGGTTCTAGATGATGTTTGGCCTGGCTCAGAAGATCTTGTTGAGAAATTTCAATTCCAGATATCAGATTATAAAATTTTGGTAACATCAAGGGTTGCACTTTCAAGATTTGACAAAACCTTTATCCTAAAGCCTCTTGTTCATGACGATGCAGTATCGCTTTTCCGCCACTATACACAATTGGAGAAAAAGAATTCAAATATCCCTGACAAAGATCTTATCCAAAAGGTGCTTGTTCTACTTGTATTTGCATCATTCAAGCACCAATCTTTTATAATCTATTGATGACTGACTATAGTTGTGTGCTTTGAAATACAGGTTGTGAAACATTGCAAGGGTTTACCTCTTGCCATTAAAGTGCTTGCAAAGTCACTCAGTAATCGGCCATATGAGTTATGGGAAAAGATTGCGAAGGAACTTTCACTAGGCCGTTCTATACTTGATTCTAATACTGAATTACTTACTCGCCTCCGAAAAATCTTGGACGTTTTGGAAGATAATCCCATCAACAAAGAGTGCTTCATTGACCTAGCATTATTCCCTGAAGACCAAAGGATTCCTGTTGCTGCTCTCATCGATATATGGGCAGAGTCATATGGACTAGATGATGCCGGCGTAGAAGCAATGAATATCATAAAAAAATTAGACTCCATGAATCTGGCTAATCTCTTAATAGCAAGGTACAATGACCTCTGATGTTTTTATCTAGTGATAGATTTTTTTTTCTCTTCAAGGAATATTAACTTCTGTTCGTTTCGCAGGAAAAATGCAAGTGACACAGAAAATTACTACTACAATAACCACTTCGTTGTCCTTCATGATCTTCTAAGAGAGCTTGGAATTTATCAAAGCACCCAGGAACATATTGAACAAAGAAAAAGACTTCTTATTGACGTAAATGAAAACAAACGTAATCGCTGGCTTGAGGAGAAGAAAGGCAAAATAACTCGCATATTGTCCAAGTTAGTTAAATGGTGGGTTAAACCGAAACCTCAACAGATCCCCGCCCGCACATTATCTATATCAACTGGTTAGTTATACTCGCACCTTTCTCTAAATATATTCACTAACTTGCGAGTTAACAATGTCGTTAATTCAAAATATATCAACAATTCATCCCATATGGGTTGTGTTTGCAGATGAAACTTGTGCTTCAGATTGGTCCCAAGTGCTGCCAGCTCTGGTTGAGGTTCTGATTTTAAATCTTCAAACCAAGCAGTACACATTTCCAGAGTTGATGGAGAAGATGAGCAAACTGAAAGCTCTTATAGTCATAAATCACGGTTTCCATCTTTCTGAACTGAACAAGTCTGAGCTACTTAGCTTTTTATCCAATCTTAACAGAATCAGGCTAGAGCGGATTTCTGTTCCTTCCTTTGGCACATTGAATAATCTGAAAAAACTATCCCTCTACATGTGTAATACGCGACTAGCTTTTGAAAAGGGTAGCCTTCTAATTTCAGATGCATTTCCAAATTTAGAAGATTTGAACTTTGACTATTGCAAGGATTTGATGGCATTGCCTAATGGGGTGTGTGATATTGCCTCATTAAAAAAGCTCAGTATTACTAATTGCCATAAGCTTACATCGCTCCCAAAATATATTGGAAAGTTGGGGAATTTGGAACTCTTGATCCTAATTTCCTGCACTGATTTGGTAGAGCTACCAGATTCTATCGGAAGCCTTTTGAATCTAAGACTACTCGACATCTCCAACTGCGTAAGCCTTTCAAGTTTACCTGAGGATATTGGCAATCTGTGTAATCTAAGAACTCTCTACATGACTAGTTGTGCAAGTTGTGAATTGCCATTATCGGTTGTCAATCTTGAGAATTTAAAAGTAGTATGTGACGAAGAGACTGCTGTTTCATGGGAATCTTTCCAATCTATGATATCTAATTTAACTATAGAGATTCCTCAACTTGAAGTCAATTTAAATTGGCTTCACTCAATTCGCTCCTAAAACCTATATGCACCTCTTCCTCTGCTTTCGAAAGATGTCGTGGAGGACACATGAAAGCAGGTAGAACAAAACACTCAGTTTCCTCTTAAAGAACTCGTCCAACAAAAATCTCTTTGAAAATATTGATAAAGACATTGTCCAAGCCCTGCATCGAGTAGTATGGCTCGGTGGAGTATTTAAGTGGTTTTGTTCTTTTCCCTTGGCGGCTAGCTTTTAAGGGAGGGTTCTTCAAATGTTTGAATATCAGAGCTTGTGGCTCAGAAAGGGACCGAAAAGGCCGAGTAAAGCATCGTAGAGTGCAACCATCGGGACGTCAACTCTCAGATCAAGCAGTATGGGATGCTTGGTGGAGTATTTAAGTTGTTGAGTGTTTGAATACTTATTTTGATAATTTGATAAAATCCAAATCCAAAGTGATATGTCAATTTTCAGGCCAGCTACTATGCGTGGCAGATCATTCGACAACATCCACAGTCATTCAATTATTGATTCTAGTAGCAAGCAATGTGCTTAAATGATGCTATGGCACATGCAAAGAAAATGAAAACCTTTCATGATTCATTTTCAGCACCTGCTGCATCAGAGGTGAATAATGTAAATGTGTGCATGCAAACAGAAAAAGATCAACATGATGTTCAGGCATTGGTTTGGTATAAAAGTGGCAGAGGAAGAGGTAGAGAGGTGTTGGGAGAAACAAAAACAATCATCCAGTAGTATTATAAATTGATAATCACAGGCCAAGAATGCAAGTTGATGTGTCAAAAGTTCCAGAAGATGTTTGAACTTTGAAGGCTAAGTTTGTTCAGACTTTTCTAAACTCATGACTTGAAAAATATGTAATATAATGAATGCCCCTTCAATATATGTGGGTAGAAATCCATGGTCTAGTATAATGTTTAATTAATGTATATATTGTGGCTCTTAAAACAATGTGATATTGTGTGATTTTCCTGTAAGGTCACTAAGTGCCACTTGTATAATTATTCATATGAATTAAAAGTGTTGTTTTTTTCTGTTTGACAACAAAGAAAGAGACAAATATGATTGGACTTTTGAGACATTATGCGTGTTACTAGGGGAAAGTAGCCTAGTAGTGCGTTGTTTTAGTTCAATCAAGTTGTAAAAATAGTACTAGTGTACTAGTGTACTACAAAGTCTTAGAGGAAGTAAAGCTTGTTGACATCATTGATTACATGAGCCTTGGTAGGTTAAGGTCGACGTCAGAGTGGTTGTTCAACATTAAATTTTACACGTAAATGTAAATTTAAAATTCAAATTGATTAGGTGTTGACGTTATTATATAGGCAAAATTATTCACGGTTTGTTTGGTTCAAACCAATTGAAATAGTGTGGAGAAATTTCAATAGAGTGAACAGTAGTAAGTTAATGTTTATATTGATGACGGTAGATCAGATGTGGTGAATATGTGTTTCTTTACTTCAATGTTAAGTCTCACATCTTTTTGTTGATAATCAATTATAGTATTTATAAAACTAACTCAAATATCAAAATAGTAATTTTTAAAGTAGAAGAATCAAAATTAAGAAAAAGACTAAATAAAGAAATTAAAGTTGCAATTAAGTCAACTTTTTTTTAATAATTTAGTCATATCTTAAATAATTAAAAAGTGTATTTATAAAAAGAGCCACGCTAAATCTTACAAAATGAAACACATGAACAAGTAATAACCTAACAAAATATATAAATTTGACTTTTAATAGAAACATAGGATGAGGTTAGTATAATTTTTGTGTTTTATTAATTGATGCTTCGAAACGATAGCATTTCTCTTATAAAAAATAAAAAGGAAAATAAAAAGAAGTAAAAAGTGACAGTAAGAGATGAAAAATAGAAAAAAGTTTATTTATAAAAATATAATAAAATAAACAAATTGCAAATTAAAATTAAATTTTTTAGAAAAATATATTATTTGTTTTGTAATCATAAAAGAAAACTTTTAATTTAATATACACAAAATATCATTTGGCGAAAAAATTAGAATTTTTTTTTGGAATAATTAGGTATTAAATTTTTCCCCCCGCAAATAACCATGTTTCAGATGACTCCCCAAAGAATGAGCCATCTCACTTGGCGCATACACCTACTTTTTAAGGGGAGGCGCCATCTCACTTGGCGCCTAGGTGCTTAGGGCTTGCCCTAAGCCAAGTGAGATGGTGCCTTAGTGCATTTGCTAGGGCAATTTTCACGTTTTGTTTTCCAATCCGGTGCGTTACGTATTCGATATAGGATCAACAAAATTGACTTTTTATTTACAAAAAATAATTACACCCATAAGTATTACATAAAAAAAACAGATTAATCAGTGGTCCTCCAGAACCCGGTAATGACCCCCGGTTCCGCATCCCTGTCCTCGCCTTTCCCGTGCTGGGTGTCGTCGTGTTTCCTGTTGTGGCAGGGTCGATGGCCCAGCGAAGTCAATGCGTTCTGAATCCATGAAATCAGTCAGATCTCCATATCTAGAAGATCCACTTTGGTACAGTCGGTTACCCATACCCTCAAAGTTTGGTCGTGTTGGCGGTGGGTGGGGTTTCATGGTTGGTCTGTAGCATTGATCGTTTGAGTATGAGGGGTAGAAAGGAAATGGATCTTGGGGTGTTTGGTATTGAGGATGTTTGATGGTTTGGTGATATTGTGGTTGATGGTAAGTTGGGTCGGTTGGTTCATAATCTTCCGACATTCCCAGATCAGGGCTAAGGTTGGATGTTGAGGGGCCCATATTGGGATATACAGAAGACTGAAATTGTGTGTGGGGTGCAGGTGTGTTGGTATTGTGATTAAAATTGCGGTTGGGTGTGAGGCATATGGGGGGTATTGGTACTGAGGTGGTGATTGTGGTTGGTTGTGGGGCATTTGGGTGTAATTGTATTGTGGTGGCGACTGTGGTTGGGTGTTGGTGGTTCTGTTTCGTCTGGGGGGTTGGTGGGAGGTTGATGTGTGTTGGGTTTGTTGTTGGGGAAATGAGGGTTGTGCCCATTGTGTTCGTGGATCAACCAAATACCTTGGACGAGACACGTGTATTTCAAGGTTACTAACCGACTTGTACCAAGATAAATACTGATCCGTGTGTCGCATATTACCGTGATTGAGGAAAACTGGGAATTGCAAGACATGTCGGTGACGTCTCTGCCACATCTTACACCATTCTGGAGCAAAGTATTTCCAGTTGGTAAGACCACATTGGGCGTCGACCCTTTTGAGATGCCACGGGGACAAACAAGTCAGATCACTGGGTATCTCTTGATGCATTCTGAATTGCATCTTCACACGGTCGCTGTGGTGCATCTTCACAACATTGAACCGTATGATTGCAGTCTTGGCGCTCCAAATTACTGCATCCTCGGGGTTTGGTTCATGGCTCCAAACTGCACATAAAATTAAATCAGGTTAATAAAAACGTAATATATAAATAATTTAAAAGTAGAAAAGTTGAAAGGTACGACGTACATCATTCGGACCTAGGTGATCCAATAGATTGCGGTATAGTTCGACATTGAATCTTGGATTCTTGCTGTAATCCATACCCCTCACGCAATACCTAAAGGAAATGAAAAATATTTTATTTTTATCATATATTTGGTGAAGAGATTAATAGTAATAAATGATATAACTTGATGACTTACTTTGTTGCGTACGGGAAAACAAATGTGTTGTTGTTGACGGGGTTTAGGGACTCCATCCTCCACCAATCCTAGGCTTGAAGTAAAAAAGCGCAACCATAAAATGTATATTTTTCCTTGATTGCATTTTTACACAAGGAACTGTATAGGTGGACTAAAACAGCAGAACCCCAACTATACTTTCTAGTTTTTTCGAAGTCTCTAAGTAAATTTAAATACATAAAATTTACACTATTTCCCGTACTTTCGGGAAATAAAAAGGTTCCAAATAGTATCATTAGATAAGTTTTGGCTTTTATTACCTTGTCTTGCTCGGAGGAATTTTCGTTTAATTCCAAAGTCGCGTAATGATTTTTAAGCTCAGTTAGTAGTATACCCTGACCTCTCGCACCACCATCTTCAACCATATCCCTGCCCAACAATTCTTCACACAGAGAATTGGGTTGTTGAACTGACCCATTAATGGCCTTACCATCGACAGGGAGACTCAGTAACATGTACACGTCCTCTAGCGTGACGGTACATTCACCTATTGGTAGGTGAAATGTATGGGTCTCTGGTCTCCACCTTTCCAATATTGCAAGTATGAACTTTGAGTCAATTGTGCAGTTGGAGATCTTTATAACATGTCTGAAACCTGCGTATTCCAGATATGGTACGATAAATGGGTCGGGAGCAAGGTAGTTGTGAGACCGGATTCTGAATTTTTTGGTATCCCGAGTTAATAATGTAAAAAGTGTAAGATTAAGTAAGATGAACAAAGCATTACCAGAAGTATGAAAAATGTATAACTATAAAAGAAACTTACAAATGCTGCAATATTGTCCCTTGTGCCTCTGTGAGAATCGCCCATTGTGAGAAGAGTCATTGTTGAAAATGCCTGAGATTATGAAAGACTTAGAAATTGTAAGAGATTATGAAAGAGTTTGTAGCAGAGAGTGAGACGATTGTGGGTGCGAGAGAAGTATGTTATGCTTTGTATTTATAGGCAAAAAAAATTCATAGAGTAAGTGAGGTGGTAGCTGGTGCATGCATGCATGATAAGTGTCACTCTTGCAGTGTAGGCGCATGCTAGGTGGCAGCCTTGGAGAAGGCATCTCTGCATGCATGTAACACGATTGGACATGAAGGGAGGCGCCATTGGACTTGGTGAAAGAGTACAAAAATGAAAGGTGTCGCCATCCCCATTGGCGAATAAGAGGTGGCATGGGTTACAGAGTAGGCGCAAGCTACGTGACAGCCTTGGAGAAGGCATGTCGGAATGCATGTAACACTATTGAAGGTGATGGGAGGAGACTTACAGGTTACAGTGTAGGTGCAGAGTAGGCGCAGGCTAGGTGACAGTCTTGGAGAAGGCATCCC